TTCAGTCTCTGGCTACAGAGAGAGAGACAGACAGCTCGTTCAGTCTCTGGCTACAGAGAGAGAGAGACAGACAGCTCATTCAGTCTTTGGCTACAGACGGGCACAGAGAGAGAGACAGGGAGAGAAAGACAGACACAGAGCAGCCCAGCCTGCTCCTGCAGAACCACAGTCCAGCAGGTCAGCCGCCGATTCCATCACACTGAGTCACATAAGTCAGGAACAGCCAGCCATTGTACTAGAGCTCAAGAGCACCAGGATTCCAATTCCAGGAACCCCTCACCTCGCCACTCCATCACACACATGACCTCCTAGCGGGGTCAAGACAAAACCTCTTCTCAGAGATGCGTCAAGGGTGATCTGTAAGACCCGCTGGACTGCGGATCTCCTGGCCATACTGGATGGACACTAACAGCGAAAGAAGAGCACAGGTGGGAACTCCAGTCCTGGAGCACCACAATCCAGTCCCGGTTTTCCAGGTCTCTTTAGATCACCATCACCTGGAAGCCCTTGAAAAGTGTTAAATGGGTCCAGTGAAGTCGGAGCAAGAGAGAGCAAAAACCTGGAGACAGAGCAGCCCCCCAGGACTGGAGCTGTGTCCCCCTAATGCAGACAGGGACAGAAAGAGAGAAACATGGGTTTTACTAAAAGAATAGATTTTATTTTAAGCACTGTAAGTTACTTTCCAACAGTAGAAACAAAACGGCAAAACTCTGGCTTTGTTTTAAAATCTTGGGTTTTTTTTTCCATTTTTTGTTCCAATAAAACAGACAAATAAAACCATTCTTTAGACAATCCGATTCCCTCCTTTTTTTTTAAGAACAATAAAATAAGAAATAAAACTAATTCCAGAATACAATCGATCACATCTCTTTATTCACCAAGAGACACACAAGAAAAACAAGAATTGTTTTTCCCAAAAAACCTTTCCAAACTTACATCGATAAAAGGTCTAGATGGAGTCTGTGCTGATGCTGTGATTGTGTGTTTAGGTAGAAGGATTTTTGCCAGGGGAAACGAGCCTGGAATAGTTTTTATACCACTAGAGGGAGGGGAAAGTTACTGACGGCATTAAACAAGGGCAACCATTATAATAACACGACCAAGAACTTCAGAGAAACTTGTCAATGGATATATACTTAATTTTTTTGTCTTTACTATATATATATACTTCTGTGGATTACAAGCAGGGCTCAATTCTAAGCTACAGTTCAAAAACTTATTGTTTCAGATAAAACTGTGAAAAATTAGTAGTAGTAGCAGAAGTAGCAACAATTTAAAAAATTAAAACGCGGCTTGTGTCAAGATAGTAATTGAAACTAAAGTTTCCGATTTTATTCATTACTGTCTTTTCATTAACCTCACTAGGAAATACCTGACAGCTAAACGGATTAATAAAAGAGTTAGCTTAAAAATATCATCATCAATATGGTTTGAGGAGAGGCGCTGGTTGGGAAGAGTCGGGGATCTAGGAAGGACGAACTGGGGAAAGAGGAAAACGGGGTGTCGGTAAGATTATTCGAAAATATTACAAACTTGTTTTTAATTTTTATTTTATTTTATTTTTTGCGACGTCTTTTTGTTAAACTGGATTCCTACGATCACAAAACAACGTGAACAAAAAGCGAAAAACGCTGAGAAACGGGAAAGCGGCCCAGAGCGAGAGTGGAGGTGGGGGGAGGGACGCGTCTCTGGAGGGAACGGCGAGTGATTCAGGGGGGCAGGGCGGAAATCGGGGCTCTTCCGACCGGCTTCCAGCAGGTGAGACGGCCAGAAGACGCGTTCGGAAAGAGCGAAGGAGAAAAACGGGAAGAAGACATTTAAAATCGTTTTACGACGACTTGGGGGGGAGTATGAGTTGAAAAATGGAAATGTCCCTAAAGAACACCAGGGGGTGCTGAGCGTGTTGCTCCGTGTGGGACAGCTGGAGACGGTCTGTGAGTCAGTCTTCCAGGGAATCGGTGAGTCAGTGAGTCAATCGGCTAACGAGCGTGTGTGTGTGTGTGTGTGTCAGTCTGTAAGTGTGTCTATCAGTCCGAGTGTGAGTCAGCCTGTCACAGTGTCAATCAGCTTACGAGTCTGTCACGGTGTCTGTCAGTCCGAGTGTGAGTCAGCCTGTCACAGTGTCGACCAGTTTACGAGTGTGTGTGTCAGTCTGTTACAGTGCGTCAGTTTACGATTGTGTCCATTAATTCTGAGTGTGTGTGTGTGTGTGTCAGTCTGTTACAGTCAGTCGGAATGAGCGTGCGTCACTGTCATGGTGGCAGTCCATGAGTGTGAATCAGGTTGTCCGTGAACGTGTCCGCGTGCTACAGTGTCAGTCTACGAGTGTGTCACTGAGTGTGAGCCCTCGGACCCGGGGCCAGCAGCTGGGAGGCCTGTGTGGAGACGGGGGACAGGAGGAGAGATGACAGGCATGCTCACGTGGAGCAGAAGCGTCCTCTGTGTGCGTGACATGCCAGGCGCACACAGGGACAAGAGAGGTCTTCCCAGGCGCCCTGGCGCTGTCCCGTGCGAGTGCTGGGGAGTCGGGGGCCGCGTTCACATCACGGGAACGGTGCAGCGGACATCAAACTACCTCTATACAGTGTGCCTGCGGTAAGACGTTCACTAAAACGCAAAAACAAATATACATTACATACGACTCCGTGCTGGCGTTAACGCCGCAGGAGTCTTCACAATGCGAAGGATCTACACGTTGTGCCTGGCGACACCAGTAGACGGGTCATGTGGAACAACATGAAGGCTGGCTTACTGCCACCTCCTTCCTGCTGGGAAACCCCATACCAGCTCCCAGAGAGCACCTCAGGGATTTGCATAACCCCACCCCACTCTGCATGCAGCCACAGCCTCTTGGAGGACAGCTGCCATCTTGATTGAAGTAATGGTGCCAAACATTAAGACACCATTTTTCAAGCCAAACTATCGCATCGTGGCACCTCAAGTCCGATTCGGGTGCCATCCTGCCCCTTGGTACCACATCACGTTTGGGCCTTTCCTTGTGAATGAAGTATCTATTCAGCCGATGCTCTCCAGGAACTGGCATGTGTTGGAAAGAGCTAGCTTGTGTCCATTAACCGTTCTGGAAAAAAAAAAAAAAATCCATGATAAAAAATAATCAACCAATCTGATCGGCTGACCACGCAACAAATCTCTAATCGAGTTCGCCCGTCCAGAGAGTCGGGCGGGGGGAGCCAGGAGAAGAATCCGATTGGCTCTCGCCCGATCGGTCAAAGGTCACGCAGCTGTTGCGTCCGGGCAGCGACAGCTGTTCTGTTTCGGTCGCTGGAGAATCAAGTCTCTTCTTCGCGAGCGCGGTAGGATAGAGAGCCAGCGCAGCAGTCTCGTCAATGCAGGATAAAGGTTTGGCTATGGTCACGGTTCGGGTCAAACGCGTGCCGGAGGGCTTACAGGAGCTACAGGTCTGTGAATTTGGCGACGTGATCAAAAATCGCACAATTAAACCTGGGCCAGGATAAAAAGGAAAATATTAAAATATTAACATACGCATACAAAGGATTCGGACTAAATTTTATAAAGATCATCTGGCACGTAAATTCATATATATTTTTAAATAATATATTTTATCTGAACATCTCAGGACATTCGAATAAGGTGCTTGGAAAAAGGGTGAATTTTCTAAACTTTTTTTTTTTGTTTCCCCCTCTGCTCATTAGTATCCCGGGTGCGGATCGCTCCAGGGAGGGAAGAGCAGGGAGAGTGGGATCTCCCCGTCGGAGAGGGACAGGGACAGGGGAGGAGGGGACCGAGGCCGAGGGAGAGTGGGATCT